AGCTCAGGGTGTGATCCCAAGGTCCTGGGATCGAATCCCACATCGGGCTCCCTGCATGGAGCCCGCTTCTCCCTCTGCCTGTGTCTCTGCCCCTCTGTGTCTCTCATGAATAAATAAATAAGTAATCTTTAAAAAAGAAAAAAAAGGGATCCCTGGGTGGCGCAGCGGTTTGGCGCCTGCCTTTGGCTCAGGGCGCGATCCTGGAGACCCGGGATCGAATCCCACATCGGGCTCCCGGTGCATGGAGCCTGCTTCTCCCTCTGCCTGTGTCTCTGCCTCTCTCTCTCTCTCTCTCTGTGACTATCGTAAATAAATAAATAAATAAAAAACCTTTAAAAAAAGAAAAAAAAAGGCACCATGCATGGCTGACCTAATGTCTCAGCTCTACGAAAGCCTTCCCATCTCCTCCTCTAGGCTGGGGTCATCGATGTAGATCTGTCACATTACTGTCAAGTAACTGCATACTCAGCCGCCTTTATAACCACAGTGCAAATTCCTTGAGGGCAATGTCTGTATCTCATTACTTTGTCCCCAGAATCTCACTTTGCCAAACGTGTCGCCTATGTTTTGGCTTATTTTTTGAAGAATGTATTCAAACCATGGTAGGTGAGGTATCTGTTCTCTACTCAAACAAATTTTAGAGGCCTACATGCATCATAAGGAAGATGAGGATAGCTACTGAGCACCTACCATGTCCTCAAGCCTTGCCAGGTATTTCACACACTTTTATTTCATTTAATCCTAATAATCCTATAAACCATGATATTCATTTATGGCAGGGAAAACACACTGGGATCAGCTAGTGAAAGATATGAGATTTAAACTCATTCATTCCACATATTTCTTTATACACGTATTCCAAAATGAGAATATCTAAGGAAATGACACAAACTGTAAAGAAAAAAAAAGGAAATCAGAACAAAGGAGAAATAAGAATTTTTAAAAATCATATAGAGACAGCAGGGAAGCACTGAAGGGCGCATCCTATTAACAGCCCATACATCGGCTATATATGTGAACAGCAAGTGTGGCTAAACTTCCCAGCTGTGAACAGGTGTTTTGTTCCATTATTCACAGAGAGTAGCTTTTATTTTTTTTTAAATTTTTATTTATTTATGACAGTCACAGAGAGAGAGAGAGAGAGGCAGAGAGAGAAGCAGGCTCCATGCACCGGGAGCCCGACGTGGGATTCGATCCCGGGTCTCTAGGATCGCGCCCTGGGCCAAAGACAGGCGCCAAACCACTGTGCCACCCAGGGATCCCCGAGAGTAGCTTTTAAAGATAAGGGCAAACCCATTGCTTACAAGCACGTTTACTCCTGAACTGAAACGTGAAATTTCTCCTGCAGGTCCTCAAAGCAGCCCTTGCGTGAAGGAGTGAGGCTGCGTCATTCCCAGCATGAATGTGTCACAATACCGTCCAGGTAAAGGGACTGGACATGTGGCCAAAGGTGCCTCAGACACGTCTCCTTAATTTCTAGAGAAATGAACTGATTACTCCATGTTTGGCCTGTTCCATGCACATTTCTCAAAAATGAGATTTCGAACATTTGGGCAGTATAGTTAAGGGTCACTCTCTGGGGCACAGGGTTGTTGCTGATTAAGAGCAGGTGCATATACATTCACGGGTGCTGGGAGAGAGACAACATCTCTTCTGGAAAGAGAGCAGGCTCATGAGGATGCCACTTCAGGGGGAGGCCTGTCCACCTCTTCATAAAAGTGATCTCAAGAGTCCCTACTGTTAGAGACAGGATTTTCTTACCAACAAGTTTGGATCTGCTTCAACATATGGAATGTATAAATATCACGCCACCTCCATAATCATGAGATGCTATCATTTTAGCTTGAACCTTTCGAAAACGCTTACCCCAAGCACCCCCAGCCATCCGTGGCTCCAAAGCCTGTACGCCCGCTGCCCTCCGACGTTCAAACTGCAGACATTAACGCCTCCGTCTCACTCACTCATTCCGTGGAGTCAAACGCCCACTCTCCCGGAGACCCCGCTGCGGCCTCGCTGGGGTATGACCCAAGGGCCAAGCCATACCTACGGTGAGCTCACCTGAAAAGGCTTCGAGGGAGGAAGGTTCTTTTTTAAAAAATATATTTATTCATGAGAGAGAGAGAGAGAGAGAGAGAGAGAGAGAGAGAGAGAGGCAGAGACAGAAGCAGGCTCCATGCAGGGAGCCCGACGCGGGACTCGATCCCGGGACTCGATCCCGGGACTCCAGGATCACGCCCCGGGCTGAAGGCGGCGCTAAACCGCTGAGCCACCAGGGATCCCCCGGCAGGAAGGTTCTGATATAGGCGAGGGGTCTCTGGTCAACGCCATCAATCGGCTCTGCCAGCAGCAGAATAGAGACCCTATGGCCCCATTTTTAAGTGGCTTAGTAACAATAGAGTCGTCAAATCCTGAAGTCGTACACCTGCAACTAATGTGACATTGTGTGGACTTTAGAGTTCAATAATAAAAAAAAAAGTTTAATAGTATTTTAAAATATTAAAATAAAATGGTGGAGACTCAGGAGTCTGTCCACTGAGGGTGATGTCTGGGGAGGACCCACACCGGGTATGTGATGAGAAATTTTACTAAAATCACTGTTACCTCGGAGAAGGTGGCTAATTCGGGGGATAACAGAGGACTCTAACCTTAAGAGTTCAGAAGTATCAGCTGCAGGGGGAAAAAGCAGCTACTGCATTGAGGTTGAGAGAAAGTGTCAAGGATTAAGGGCCTGAGGACTAAGAGAGGCTCCACCCAAGCGGAGGCGGCGGTTTCCACAGGAACTTCCTGGCGGGGGCGGGGGGGGGGTGGTCCCGGGAGCGGGAGCAGGAGCAGGAGCAGCCCCCCGGAGGTGCAGCAAAGGGAGGAGGTAGGGACTGAGGCCGGGACGGAGGTCGGGTGGGAGGCTGAGCGGGGGCCGGGACGGAGGTCGGGACGGAGGTCGGGTGGGAGGCTGAGCGGGAGGCCAGGACAGAGGCCGGGAGGGAGGTTGGGTGGGAGACCGGGAAGGAGGTCGGGTGGGAGGCCAGGACGGAGGCCGGGAGGGAGGCCGGGAGAGAGGCCGGGCCGGCCGGCAGGTGCAGAGGCGGCTCTCCCGCGGGCTGCTGAGCTCCCCAGGCCCAAGGCAGGCGGCGCACCTGCAGCCAGAACAGGCGTCCTCTCGCGGCTCCGGCCTCGCAGCGCCACTCAGGGCCCCGACGTCCCACCGCGCGGCCAGAGAGAGTTCAGAGGCCGGCGGCAGCCCCGAGGGCAGGGCAGAGCACAAAGGGACGGATGTGGAGCTGGGCCACGTCGGTCACCGCCCCAGCTCGCCGTCGGGGCGACTAGCCCGTGCACACCTGCCCCAGTGACCCTGCCGCTCCCGGCCACACGTGCCACTCAGTACCTGAGACGTGACGTGTGAAGTGTACACTAGGGCTCAAGGACTACGTGCAAACCGAAATGTTAAATATCTCATTAAATTTTATATCTTTTATTTTAAATATTCTATTTATTTATTGACAGCTCACGCAAGCAGGGACGTGGCGGGGGAGGGAGGGGGAGAGGCAGGCTCCCCGCCGAGCAGAGAGCCCTCGGTGGGCTCCATCCCGGGACCCCAGCACCATGACCTGAGCCCTCGGTGGGGCTCCATCCCAGACCCAGGATCATGACCTGAGCTGAAGGCAGACACTTACGGACTCAGCCCCCTGGGCACTCCCTGAATGTTGTTATCAGTTCTGGGTGACATACCTTGGCTCTATTCAGCTAAACAAAATGTTATCAAAATTAATTTCACCTATTTTTGCTTTTTAATGAGGCTACTAGAAAATTTTAAAATCACATACGTGGCTTGCATCCCAGATAAATCGTCTCTTGAGTGGCTAGAGAAACTTCACTGCTTTGGATAGAAAAGGTTTCTAAGGGATCCCTGGGTGGCGCAGCGGTTTGGCGCCTGCCTTTGGCCCAGGGCGCGATCCTGGAGACCCGGGATCGAATCCCACGTCGGGCTCGAATCCCACGTCGGGCTCCCAGTGCATGGAGCCTGCTTCTCCCTCTGCCTGTGTCTTTGCCCCTCTTTCTCTCGAATCCCACGTCGGGCTCCCAGTGCATGGAGCCTGCTTCTCCCTCTGCCTGTGTCTTTGCCCCTCTTTCTCTCTCTCTGTGACTCTCATAAAAAATAAAAAAAAAAATTTTTTTTTAAAAAAGAAAAGGTTTCTAATACCCAAGCTCCATTTCGGTGCAACAGTCTTTCCCACTGCACCCCTCCTCCGTAAGATGATGTACTTCAATTCTACTACATGCTTGGGCACTGCAAGCACCACTGAGCTGGCTCCCCCAGCCCTCCTCACCCACAATTCAGAGAAGCAGAGGCTGATTCTGACCATAAACATCTGCTTTGTCATTTCCCTATGCTCCTTCAATGCCAATTGTTTCCAACAGAAAGGTACTTGTGGTGTCAAGTGAGTACTGAACACATACTTGCTACATAAAATAGTCTCAACAGAAACAACTCCAGAAGAATTCCTACAGTGAAGGATATAAAGGATGCAATGTGGTAGACAGTACCAGAATACAGATTAGAAAAAAAACAAACAAAAAAAAATTACCTTCTATTCCTGGCTCTGACCTCCTTGGGTGAGGCTGTGTAAGTATCTGCTGTCCTTTATTTCTACATCTGCTTGGGAAAAGGGCTGAATCCTTCCAGTTTTATTTAAACTATATCATGAAATTCTTTTAGAGATTATAAAGGTTTTTTGGTTGTTCTTTTAATGAGTGGGATACAATTTAAGAATCAGAATATATCACATGTATTAAAGACATTTTCTGAGACTTGTTTCAAGTATACATTTTATATACTGGTTTGCAGAGTAAGATATGTTTCTTACTAAGAGTGTCATGGTTACAGTTTGAAAGCCACCACAGATGATCTCTTAAAAACAATATAGCTCAATTTCTTAAAGATTCATTTTGCTCAAAAATTATTTCAAGACCAGTAAATCACAAAGCATAAAATCACAACTTAATATGGAGATTTTTATCAAAGCTAAAATTTATTTGGTGCATACTCTGTGCTTGCTAGCCGATATTTTCACATATACCTTTTCTTTGAATCTTGTAAAAAGCAACCATGTGAGGTATTTTACACATTAAAAAAAAACAAAAACCTACTTCCTCAACTTGTTCAAGTGAAAAGAATTATAAGCATTCCAAAACAAAAACAAAAACCAGCCAAGTACACAGTCTATTTCGATCTCTGTTTATACATCTTCTCCATATTCACACATTTTAGCATTAGGAGAATAAGGAACCAATTCAAATAAAGGAAATCTTTCTTGCAATTTTTGTCGACAGGTACTTTTTAACCCACCAACTTTCTACTCTAAGCACAAGGGATATGTATGTCATCAGTAGCTAAAATAATTTTAAAGTGATCTAGTATTTTGAAAATGCTGTTCACATAGAAATACAAGCCTAAAAATGGCACTATATTTCAGATGTAATTTCTCTCTTTCTTTTTTTAAAATAAGCTTTATGCCCAATGTGGGGCTCAAACTCACAACCCTGAGACCAAGAGAGTTGCATGCTCTACTGACTGAACCAGCCGGGGGCCTCTCAGATGGAATTTCTCAATAGGCAATGGTAACAGTTCAATTGATGGAAATGATTTAGATAAAACACCTTCAAGAAAACAGAAAAAGTGAAGGAAAAAATTTCTAAAAATGTAGCACCATTACCTCATGAATGAGCAAATTTCAAGGTGTAAAAATTACCTAAGACTTATATATTTTTCCAAATAATCTATCTTTATATTTAGGAGTTCAAATCATATGTTGGTATATTCAGTTGTCCTTCTAATTAGGAGTTCAACACTGACATCAAGTTATTTTAACAAAAAAAGCAATTTCCTAATAAACAGTTACTAAATTGTTACTAAGAAATTCTTCAACTTACATTAAGCATTTATTCCATATGCAAACTTTCCCTAAGAGAAATATTGGTATCGTGTTATAAACAAGACAGGTAATCTGGTCAGGGTGTGGAACATATTTGACAAAAACATTTGATCTTCCTTGCTTGGATATACTTCTTCAACATTCCTATGAATCTTTTTCTCTAAAACCATGTAACAACAAAGTACAGCTGATACAGAAACCAGATGTAAAGCTGACCTTTTATTCTTTAAAGTACCCCTTTACTGAATATTGCCAGTAATGCTATCATCAAATTACATTTTATAACCAAGTAATGTATTTTCAATGTCTATATTTAGTGTGTGTGTACATATATATTCCAATGACACACTAAACTTCAATATGATTTATTTTAAATGATTGCTGGTTTCAGAGAATTAAAAACCACAAACTACGGTAGCAACTATAACGCATTATATAGTTCTCTGAAAGATCATTTTTAAGTTATCACATAAATGGTGGAATATAATTTAAACAAAATACAAATTACATTTACAGCATAAGGCTCTGTGGTTGAACAATCAGCACATCAAAGAAAAGTATCAGAGAAAGGCTTGAAAAAATAAAGCATGTTTCCTGTTGGAAGAATTTTGTCTTTTGTTCCTAAAAATGGCTACTTGTGGACATAAAAATGTTCAAACAAAAGGTTCCTAAAATTTCTAGAAAACAATTCAACTTTAGTTACAGTAATTGATGAGGTCAGACCTTATCACAGTAGGCTGAAAATTAATCTGTTGGTAGCGAGAAGATACAACTGCTCATTTTTAGAGAAGTAAAGTTTATTACATTTGAAACAATACAGCAGAAATCTCAAAAGTTTACTCATTAAATATAGTTTCTTACAAATATCCTTTTGAAAATGCAATTCATATATGCTGCAACCTCCGAAGTTTGAATTCAAAATGAAATATGAAGGCAAGAGTCAGGGAAATCACGTCAGAGGGCTTTGTCAAAGGTCTGTACAAATCAGTACATACTCTTTCTGTGATACAGTAGGAAAGAAAGTGATTCTAAATATATCCAAGTAAATGCAGAAAAATACATTACTATTTGAGGCAGACCATGCTAAAATATAATTTACAATGATTAGTTTGCATTTAAGATGGTTAATAATGCCTTTAGTTTGAACCAATGAAATCAACATTAAGTAAAATTTTGTAATATTTGCTCAGTCTTTTGCACTGAACATTAGTTCATCAGAGAAGTAAATAAGATTGGAAAAAAGCAAGTGACCTGATCTTTTTCATTAAGTTAATCATTATCTCACTGTCATACTAAATGCAAACAAATCAAGAGAGCATCAAGATTTTTCACACATTAAAATGAAGACAAATGACGTGTGAAGGCAGACTGTGTACCATGTAGTATTTAACATATGAAACTTACATTAACCATCAACTCAATATTTTAAATAAACCAAAATGTACAAGCTAAAATAAACATTTGATTAAAAAATTCTGCTATTCAGGATACTCGGGTATCTTTTTCTCTTTGAGACTGGTAAGGGTTGGGTCTTTTAAAAACTTGAAGAAGAGGTGGTAAGAGGAAAAAAATCCTCAATGCTTTTAAAAACTCAACTGTTAGAGGAGTCCATACAACTACTATGCTGGCGTGGAAACAAGGTGTTCTCTGTCACAGAACCATTCACTTCCCAATTGAAGTACTTCCTCCAAGCCAACTATATAAAGATGTAAATCAGTTCACTCATGATTAAAATTGAAGCAATTCTTCAAAAATAGAGCAAGACATCTCACCCAAAGAGATCTTTTAAATCATTGCTAGCTGAACTGCTGTTGGTCATAGTGGTTGGTGGCTGTGCAAAGTTCTGTGGGTTAAAGAAAGGATTAGCCTGTACACCAAAGGCAGACTGTCCTATCACATTCATCTGTGTTCCCATAACTGAACTGCCCATACCCGGAGACCCTTGTGGAGGTACAAACTGATTGAGCCACTGATTTGGTTTCTGTTGTGACAACTGGTTCATGCTAACTTTGGGTTTCTGAGGGCCAAAGAGATTATTAAGAGCAGACATATCTGTGGGTCTTTGTTGAGTCGGCTTTGCACCAGCAGGAGGAACACTCACAGCACTGAAGTTTGGCAAAGTGGAAGGTGCCCCCAGTGTCATCTTGGTCACTCCAGGTGTGCTTGGACTACTGAATAAGTTCTGGTTCGTATTAACTGGCATGTTGAATCCTGAGGTCTGAAAGCCCATGTTAGCATTTAGGCCGTTGGTCAAATTTCTCTTGGTATTATCAATCGGTGTAGAAAACATCATGCCAAGGCCCATGGAAGGAACGGAAGTGAAGGTACTTGAAGCAGAAATTTTAGGGGTACTAACAGAAAGGCTGGTCAAAGATGACATGTTATCCATCAATGTGTCTGTCAAGTCCTTAGTCTGAAAAATATGAGGGAATTATTTTATCTCCAAGATCTCCAAATTAATTAAAATCAACAAATATTTCATAGATTGTATCATAAATGACAAGTTAAAATTAAACTCAACCGTCTATACCAAGTTAGCAAACTACAGCCTATAGGCCAAATCCAGCTGACCACATATTTTTATATGGTTTATTTACAGATGGACATTGAACTGAACATGAACATTGACCATGAAACCAAACTACAATCAATTTGATGACAGGGAACACCAAATTTGAATCCCAATTAAATAAATGCTAGCCTTCCCCACTGCTCTCCAAAATAGAACTGTGTTCTTCTCATTGGTAGATCTGTACTGCAAAAAGAATATTCTATTATTTTTGTATTCTGAATTGCATCACTATTTTGTGAAAATTTGTTTTCTCCATTCTTTTATAAGTACCTAAAAATATTTTTTTATTTTGCCTCTTGGCCCACAAAGATTTTTTTCAGAAGAATTTTAGTGATTAGGAGGTAACAAAAAATAATGTAAAGAAAGCTTTTAAGATAAAGTTATTTCTGTAGCCAGTAAGAGTGTAAACTCTCTACAAGCAGGAACCTTAAACACTGCCATAGCACCAGCACCTACAACAGTGTCTGGAACAAAATAGGAAGTAAGTACTGGTCAGGACATATAGGTAAGCATTCCTAAATTAAGTTATAGACCTGACTATAATTGAAAAGTCAAAAATTAAAAATTACTTTTTGCTCAAAAATATATAAATGTATAAACAAAATACTCCTGATCATTTCAAGGTGAACAGAGCTAATTAGTACTATGAAACCTAATATTTTTAAAGAAACCCTCCTATTCAAACAACTTTCTTTTTATTGGTAACATTCACTATCACAAAACATTCTACATTAGGCAGGCTACTGAGGAGTTGTTGGAAACTCTATTATGCCTATACTTCTTAGAAACTGCATTATCGAAATATTCTTCGAAATATACTTTTATACAAACACTAGTAGGTAGAATAGGTTAAATACTTACCTTCAGTACAGTATGCCTGAAATTATACAAAAGAAATGAATTCTGACCTGTTTGACTGGAGCAACAGGTGTGTGTACTTGGGGTTTCAGAGGCTGCTGGCTTTTCAACTTCTGTGCCTGCTCCTGTTCTTTTGCTAATTTTTGTTTTTCTTCAAGTGTAAGTGATGCCTCAAAACAAAATAAAACATCAACTGGCATCTTCATAATTCCATTTGTAAAATAAAAGATGTCTTTTTTTTGTAAAGTATGTCTTGGTATGTTTGGCAATACCAAGTAGCTTTAAACTACTCCTGTATTGGTGATTATCACGGGTAAATTATATTTTGAATTATTATGAGATTTAACTTTAGGTAGAAAATCTCTGCTAAAATACTTTCAGGATAAAAACAGTTATTGTTTTAAAAACATTAATCAGATTGACCTTTTTCCAGACAAGGGGAATATGATTTGGTGATTTCATTTTATAAAATAGGGAAACTCTTATTCAACTCTAATCATCTACCTCATTCCAAAAATGTTTTAGGAATTCACCAAAAAGCTAAGGAAAAGGTAAACAGCTTCTTTCACTGCTAATGTCTGCATCAAATTTGACATTTATCTTTTTGTTTTATCAACTGCTAAACTATAAGCTCACAGTATGTTCTCTTAAAATTCTGTAAACCCAACACCCAGTAGCTCCTTGCTTTGCACATACAGGTACTAGTATTTGTCAAATGAACAGAAGAAAAACTGCCCTGCCCTTGGCAGAAATTCAAACTGACATATTTATTTTATTGAATACTAACCAATATTTCAACTGGAAAGTATCATTTCATAATTTATCACTCAAAATCAAAAGCAGAGAAGAGACACAATGGAATTTATCAAGAGGTATGACTGGCAAAATGCAGGAGAAAGGACAAAGGAGGTAGGCAATCCAGAAATGCTACCATGTGGGAGACTGAGTAACAAAGGAAGTTAAAATTCCCAAGCCTGTTTATTCTCAGTGTGAATCAGGTCATGTTTCCATGACAATTTTTAGACTTCATAAAGATTATTAAAAGCATGTTTCTTGTTTAGATGCTAAACAGTATTTCCAAACAAAAATCTATAGTTTACAGGAAGCCCTATAATATAAATAAGTGCATTATAAGAACAAGTAAACAAACTTACTCTTTTATGCTTATTCTGTAACCCATCTTCCTTATTTTCCGATTCACCACCAGTCAGAAAGTCTGCTCCAATGTTGTTAAAGACTTTGTCGATATGCTGAAAAAGATAAATGTCAGCCACCTGAATGCCATCAAAAAATTGTGATTTTACTGCTTAAAGAGCAAAAGCCTCTCAAATGAAGCACACTGTCAAACTCCTTTTACAAAAATTAAAATGATCTAAATAAACTTCCCTTGTAGCAACTGCACTATGAGGTATTTCGAAGGATATAGAAATACTGATTTGGAGGGGCACATGCACCCAAATGTTTATAGCAGCACTATCAACAACAGCCAAGGTATGGAAAGAGCCCAAATGTCCATCAACTGATGAATGGATAAAGAAGAGGTGGTATATTTGTACAATAGGACATTGCTCAGCCATCATAAAAAAATGAAACCTTTCCATTTGCGATGATGTGGATGGAACTAGAGTGTTTTATGCTAAGTGAAATAAGTCAGAGAAAGACAAATACCATATGATTTCACACATATGTGGAATTTAAGAAACAAATGAACATGGGGGAAGGGAATAAAGATAAAAACAGAGAGGGAGACAAAGTACAAGAGACTCAAATATACAAAACAAACAGGGTTGCTGGAGGGGAGGGATGAGGGTTAAATGGGTGATGGGTTCTTGATGTAATGAGTGAGCACTGGGTGCTATACACAACTGATAAATCACTAAATTTTACTCCTGAAACCAATACTATGCTATATGTTAACTAACTTGAATTTAAATGAAATCTTGGAAGAAAATAAACAAACAAGTAAATGAATAAACTAAATATCTTACCTGAGACCCAACATTTGTAACCTTTGTCTCCTCAGAAGCATTCATTTGATTTCCTATATCCAAAGATCTGCAGGAGAGTTGAATTGCGACAATGCAATAAAAAGGAATGCTTATTTTTAAATATTCATATTAAAAATAGTTCATCTATATGGAGTTTATTAGAACCTAACCAAATTGCAATTTTAGTCTTTAAGGCCAGTCATAATCTTTTTTATTATTTACTACAATTAATGTCTGCTTGCCCAAAAGTAACACTGCATATACAAGCCTTTTTTTTTTAATTCAGTATTTGAGATTTACCAGAGAATTTACTCAGTGTGTCATAAAACCAGACAAGCATGATTCTTATTGTCAGAGAGCTTATAGGTCACTGAGAAAGAAGGTATGAGGAACTTGATGTGATTAAATTCAGAATCTGATTCACAATAAATGCTATAATCAGTATGATGAGCCAGACCTATACCTTGAAAAATAGGTAAGATTTAGATAGGAAAAAGGGGGAAAAAAGTTAATTTACACCTCTAGTATAAATAGTTGATATTAAAATTTTCTTGTATAAATTTTTAAAAATTATTTTTCAGGGTTAATAGCCAATCCATCAAATAACATAAATATATACATCACAGAATATGTAGAGCATACAAAGGGCTATTTCATGTCATTCTACACCTGGTATATTTACTTCCATAAGCTTTCATCTTACACTTGGGGCAGAAGCTAAACAATTTCTATCTGGGAACCTTGCTCATAACTGATACCAATTTTACTGATTTTCTGAAGTCTTTTTCTTTCTTTTTTTAGAGAAGGGGAGAGATAGAAAGAGAGAGGAGGGGCAGAGGGAGAGGAAGAATCTTAAGCAGGCTCCACATCCAGCACAGCGCCCGATGGAGGGCTTGACCTCATGACCCTGAGATCATGGCCAGAGCCAAAATCAAGAGCAGAACACTTAACCGATTGAGCCACACAGGCGCCTCTGATGTTTCTTTTTACTAGGTCTTTTGGCTCAGGATTTAACAGGCATCCTAAAATCATGTGTTTTTCTCTGGGAAACAAATATAGTGGAGATTTTATCTTAATAAACTGGAGTTTAATAAAAACTCCAGTCATTTTCACCTTTCCCTTCCTCCTTTGAATACTAGTATTTTGCAAATAATTTAGAAAATCCTCCCTAAGGACACCTGATGGGATGAGCACTGGGTGTTATACTATATGTTGGCAAATTGAATTTAAATTAAAAAAATAAATAAATGGGATTCCTGGGTGGCTCAGCGGTTGAGCGACTGTCTTTGGCCCAGGGCGTGGTCCCTGGGTCCCAGGATTGAGTCCCACATCGGGCTCCCTGCATGAAGCCTGCTTCTCCCTCTGCCTGTGTCTCTGCCTCTCTCTCTTTGTGTGTCTCACAAATAAATAAAATCTTAAAAAAAAAATTTAATAAATAAATAAATGAATGAATAAATGAAAAAGAAAATCCTCCCTAAAAAAAAAGAAGTGTATGCTGTGGTATTAAATATGAAATGAACGTTCTATAAATGTTTCTGGAATCAGGGAGAAGAAAAAAGGAGAAATCAAAACACCAGGGTTTCACAGATTTGAAAAACGTGTAAGTGGTACTCTCAGTGATCACCCTGAGAAATGACATTAGATTGTCTACAACATTGTATTTTCAATCAGTTCAAGTTAACATGCTGGAAATTTTTTAAATGTTTTACATGTGGTCAAATTGAAATCCATCCATTTTTTACTGTGCAGAACAAATTGATGGGTTACGGGAGGGGCAGGTGAAAACAGGTCAAGGGGATTAATGATAAGCACTGAGTAATGATGTACAAAATTGTTGAATCACTATATTGTGCACCTGAAACTAATATAACACTGTATGTTAACTATACTGAAATTAAAATAATAAACTTGGGGTGCCAGAGTGCCTCAGTCGGTTAAGCATCTGCCTTCGGCTCAGGTCACCAGTCTATGGTCTTGGGATCAAGCTCTGCATCAGGCTCCTTGCTTAGCAGGGAGCCTGTTTCTCCCTTTCCCTCTACATGCTGCTCTCCCTGCTTATGCTCTCTCTCTCTCTCTGTCAAATAAATAAATCAAAGCTTTAATAATAATAAACTTAATTTAAAAATAAACAGAAATCTATCAATTTTTCTAGTCCTTATTCCAGAAAATCAATCATGAGGTAACTTTAATCTCACTCCTGGGCCATGTACAATTCATATGCAACCTACTTACTTCTGCTGTTCTTGCATTATATGTAGTTGCTCCAGTTTAGTCTTATGTTCAGATTCCAATCTGTTAAGCATCTCTTTTATGACGGAAATGAAAGAATTGAACTATGCAATAAGAAATTGACATAGTTATAATATTTCAAATTAGCAGCAAATGTAATCTAATAAAATAATTCAATGAGTTAATCATAATATTCTCTATTTTTATCAGAATATGAGCCACTCATAGAACTGATGTCACAAGAATAGTATATTTAAACTCAGCATATCATAGCAAGCTTTTATAGTATGCCTGTATGATGTTGATAAAGTTGGTGAGGATTTTCAGTTCCAGAAAATGTATCTCAATTAGTTTTATAGCCTGAATTATCTAACTATTATCCAGGGATCTTATAAATTTACCCCCAGTAATTACATATTGATTTTCCTCGAATAGTCCCAAACTGACCATCTGAAGTTCTGCATATCTGGAAACAACCGATTTAATAATGCTTTAAAAAATCAGTTTATTCAGATTATTATAAAAAATGATGTTTGGCTAAAATAAATCTGTTTTCTAAAAAGTTAATAGAAATATTAAATGTATGTAGTTTAACTTTCAAATAATTAAAGTTCTTAAAGTATATTTAACACTATGTCATAATGTAGTTTAAGCTCTGGTTAAATAATGTTTCTTAGAGTACCTGAGATCATCATGAACAATTTATTTGAACAACACCATATGTTGCAGGAAGAATCTAGAAACTGCTTTCTTTCCCTCCCAAATCTTTTTGTGCTGCTTACACCACTCTTCAAAGTAGATTTATTAATATTTCTATTCCATAAATGAGGCAACTGGCTCAGGGAGAGAAAGCAACTGAGTAAGAGATACTAAATAACATTTGGAAGGCTCAGAATTCATGTAAGCCTGTCTCCAGAGCTCGTTTCTATGGGACACTGCTCCTCACTGGGCTGAGTCATCTGTTCATCCTCTGTCTTACCATGAGAGTAACAAAAGGCATTATTTCCTGAGCAGTTTGTCTGGACTCTCTGATTAATCTTTTTAACTTTGTAATGAAGTATACTAAGAGAAAAGTATACACCTAAGCACACATATCAAAACATTCAAATGAATTTAACCAGTAGTCAGATGTAGATAGAACAAGAACACTGGCAGTACCCGGTAAGTTTCCTTGTGCCCCTTTCTAGCTGCCTCCCACCCCTCTTATCCTGAGTAAACACTAGTCTGACTTCTGGTATGTAGCTTGGACTGTTTTTGTACTTAATATAAATGGAATCATCCGGTAGATCTTCTGTGTCTGGCTTCACTTACTCAACATTATGTCTGTGAGATTCATCTGTATCATTGCACACTGAACAGAAGAATTAGCATAGGAGGTCTGGACTGCTGTCTTTGAAAAGGCCGTCTTGCAAGGCTGGCCCTTGGCCAGTGTCCAGAAAGTCAGATTTTAGGAGGGTTCCCGCCATTAACTGATAATAGTGGCTCATTAAACTGTACAAAGACTTTTATGCAAAAAAAAAAAAAAGACTTTTATGCTAAACATGTGCTTTCCTTCTGGAAGTCTGGAATTTGAGTACATGACGGGCAGATGGAGCTACAACACTTCATATATACAGTCACCACTCATTACCAGGGAAGGTACATATACGGGGATGACTCTGGACACTGAATCTGGTTTCCTCCAGACTTTGCCCTATAAGCCTTCTCTTCTTGCTGATTTTGCTTTATATCCTTTTACTTTAAAAAATCATAGCCATGAATACAACTATATGCTGAGCCCATGACTCCTTCTAATGAATCACTGCATCTGGAAGTGGTCTTTGGAACCCTCACCCAACACAAGTTGTGGTATGATGTTTTGATTGCTACTAAGTATTCCCTGTTTTATAATCAAATTACCCAAAAAAATGTACTTTCTTATATCAAGTTATTTTTCACATAATAATATATTTAGATTATTTTAAATCAGAATTGACAGAAGAGGGCAGTCTTAAATTAGGAACCCTTTCCATGAACTAAGAAAAGAGACCACACCCATGTTAACTATTGTAAAATACCAGAGAATATGAATTAAAGTATTGCTGTTGATGAAAATAGGCCTCTAAAGAAAAAAATCAACCATACAGCTGAAGAAAACTAACAGCACATTTCAAATGAAATTATATATCCTGAAATAAGCATTTGGGAATATTTAAAAACATCTTAAATCAGAAATATGAAAACTAAGATCAGAAATGACCAAAATTGGACTTAGACATATCATCATCCTATTTTCCCCCAATATTCACTGTTTCCTTTTTGGCCAATTATAACCTCAACCCTGCCACCCAAGGTATGAAGAAACTATCAAACCAAAAATTGACATTTAGGGACACATATTTCAGAGGCTTACCATACCACTTCAAATGAAATTTTGGATCTGATTAATTTTATAAATTTCTCTAACTCCAAAACTCCATTCACTCAGCACTCTCCACAAAAGCTTTCCTGCTTAACTCCCAGTGTTCTGCTTCCTTAATTGCTCTAACTCACTTTCAGTACTTAGTACCCAATCTTGCCTGCCTATCCATTCCTGACACTCCTTATTAAACAGTAACCAACCAATCCCAGTCTTTTTCCATTTTACTCCATTAAACAGCAGTTCTACAGTGAACAAAATTGACTTATCATTACTCTAACTCAAATTTTCTCTCAATTCAATAAATATTTTTGGTTTTAGCACTGTGCTAAGTGCTGGGGATATAATAAAGAATAAGATATAATAACCAGCCTTCTGGGAAAGGCAGACACATAAGTACACAGCTGTGATAACTATGCTGATAGAGGTATGCAAAGAGATAATCTTTGAACACATTACCTCTTTTTAAGATTTTATTTTATTTATTTATTTGAAAGAGAGATCGAAAGAGAGTGAAAGAGAGAGAGAGAGAGCACAAGTAGGGTGAGGGGCAGAGAGAAAAGCAGGCTCCCTGCTCAATGCAAGGCTCGATCCTGGGACACCAGGATCATGACCTGAGCTGAAGGGAAATGCTCAATGAACTGAGTCACCCAGGTGCCCCTACATTACCTTTTTGATCAAATGTTTACCACATCTAGAAATTTCAAATACCTAAACCAGTACACATGAAACTAATATAACACTGTATGTTAACTATACTAGAATTAAAATACAAAAAAAAAAAACCCACAAAAAGTAAATACCTAAATCAGACAGCAATTTAAAGTCTACCTATTCTAGTCTTGATTTATCTCTCTCCCATTGCTCCCCTACTATATTACAGGTACCTCTCAGTTGAACTGGTTATTCATTTCCTATGGCAGACAGACTCTACAATGGTTCTAAATTATCTCCTCATTCTGCTGCTAAGGCCTTTGTGTAATTCCCTAATCTTTGATTGGGCAAGACCTGTGACATGCTGGCAAGCAACAGAATCCAACAAAGGTAATGGATGTCATTTCCTTGATTATCCTACAGGATGCTATATCTTCCATCTTTCTAGTCAACTCTCTCTCCCACTTTGATGAAACAAGGTGTCATGCTGGAATGCCATGAAGCACAAAACTGACAGGGCATCCAGCTAACAGAGAGCTAGGAACTGAAGCCCTCATTTCAACCACCTAAAAGGAACTGAATCCTGCCAACAACCACGCAAGCAGCTTAGAAGCAAAGCCTTCTTTCCCCAGTTGAGCCTTCACATGAGACCCCAGCCTTTGATTGTAGCTTTGTGAGAAACTCTGAACAGAGAATCCATGCCCTGGCTTGGCTGATCCAGCCAATGAAACACAATGGAATAATAAAATTGTTTTAAACCATCTAGTTTATAGTGATTTGTTATGTAACAATAAATAACAAATACATATCCCAGCCACATTACATTAATTTTTTCCTTGTTCATGTTAACTTTCCAGCCCCAATTTGAAGTAGCCCAAAACCCTACGTATCTTTCAATGTTCTAGTTGTTTACTATCTCCCAATGAAGGCTTCATTAATCTATCCTTCCAATTCACATACTGCTTACTTTGAATCCACAAACTTTCTTTATTGAACTCTGTGGCATATTTTTCCTTGTTTTAGCAACATTTAAACATATTATATTTATACATTTAATGCCAAGAAAACAGTAAGCTGGATAAACTGAATAAAGCACAAAACTGTTCCTACCTGATTGAGATTAAGATTATTTTCAATACTCAGGGGAATCAGATGAGGCAATACTTTTCCAGCCAACTGTTCTTTGGTGATTCCCAACTTCTTATGAGTAAAAGTACATTTGTAAATACCTGATAGAAAAGAATGAGACAAATTTTATAGTTCAATACCACATATTAATAGACATTAGGAAAATACTGTATCTACATGAAATCTCTTGATAATCAGTATAATTACAAACTTTTTCTTGCCAGTGCCTAGAATGAGAATGCTCTTACATATGGATCAGGATGATTTCAGCTTTATCACCAGTTTTGATTTAAACACCATGACATATTTATCATGAATTCTTTTGGCTTAAGAGCACATTTAATGTCAGCGTAACACAAAAAGCCTTAATGCAGCAGCAAGGTTACAGAATGACCTGAAAATATCTGAATATATAGTTCAGACTTCTCACTCAAACTTGAGACCTCTACTTCACAAGTGTGAGTGTAGGTCTTAAAGCTTCATTTGCTTAACTAATTAGACTTAACATATTTGAAACTTTAATAATTTAATTCACCTCCACCTGATCCTTCCCTATAGTAATTTACTCAAATTTCAAGACTCTGCTTATTACCCCTATTCCACAAAGCCTTCATTTGGTAAACTGAGCACATTTGTTTCTCATTTGGTGACTGTCTGTTGTGTTCTGTGTATAATCCATATCCTTAGAACATACCATATCCTGTCACTTTCCTGTTAATGTATACTTCATTTATATACTCAAAGAGTAACGTTATTGAACACCTACTAAATGCTCATTTGCTAGGCACTTATTTGCTATGCTCATTACTTTTCCCTTCCCATTTTCTCAGTGAATTCTCATAAGACACCCATAATGATGCATTTTCATCTTCATTTGACAGATGAAGCAACTTTTCAAAGTCATTCTAGGAACTGACACAGCCAGGACTGGAGCTAGGGCTCTTTCTGCTATGCCAAACTCCTTCTCAAGAAGACTAATTTCTTTGAGCCTAAAAATTTCATACCATATCCCATGTCTACAGAGGTCCACAATAAATTATTTGCTGACCATTCCTACAAATATTAGTGAGGACTTTCTATAGGCATTATAGTAGGTGTTAAAAATACACAGCTGAGTAATTTGGTTTTTCTTCAAAATTAACAAACTTTAAATTTAGTAAAAAGTAAACTTGTTAATGTTTTATGATTCTACAATTATGTCTGTTTCCAGGAGTATAGCAGAACCTCAGCATTTCCAGACTAGACCATCAAAGCTTTAACTAATAAACAATTTTAGAGTTTCTTGACAAAGTAATTTGTAATTATGCTGATAGGATAGAAACGCTGTAAGGCTGATATGCTTTATCAGCGCATCACTCAGTTGTGAAACATACTGGTTAAGATCTGAACATATACAAATTAAAAACCAGCTCTACCACTTATCAGTTGTGTTTTCTTGGATAACTAACTTAAACTCTGGGCCTCAATTTCCTTACTGTAAAGCAGAAATAATAGTACCTCTCTGACTGGAATTTGGAGGGGATAAAATGAGATAATGCAGAGAAAACAGTATAGTACTTTTTACAAAATGGGTACCAAATAACCAACAAGTGTTACTATTAAGACTGGTATCAGCATTTCAAGCAGCTTAGTTTGCCTCTCTTATTTGGTATCATTTTACAGGGAAAACTACATGTGATCATGATTATTTGTGAAGCTGGGATTCCCAAATGTCTAATTCTTTTGTAAATGTCAAGGACGGTTCTACAGTTTTTGCTAAAATTAACACAAAGAAGTTATATCACAGTATTTATCCCATCATTCCTCAATTACTAAATGCCATATACTTGAGAAAATGATAACAAAGCTTTTGTAATTTGGAAAATTCACTTGCATGACTATAAAACAAAAAAGTAGCATCAAATGACATTAAGTTTTCAGCTACCTAAAATTCCCATGAGGACTGCAGGTTCCTTGGATGGAATCTGTTGTAAGAAGGGCAGGATATCATCAAGTACAAACCACTTATCCAAGTATTCCAAAATCTTTCCTAAGCACACTAATGAATTTACACGAACCTATTAAAAGAGGTAAATTGCATTAGTCATTTAAAGTCTTTACAATCTAGAACAAAATGTTAAACTATAAATTTAATCTTCATATGTAAATATATATGTTAAAATTTCAATAAAAGTAGGTTTTAAAGCTTTCGTCCTTTATTAACATAAGAAATCCACATATTTACTAACTCCCCTGGACTTGTTTCAGAATTTATTATTGCTTTACCAGAACACTGGTACTAGTTAGCTAAGTGATGACTTCAATTTTGTATCCATTTAAATGAAGTGATTAGGATTAGAGAAGCTTTCCTATACATGTATTTACTAACAATATTTCTTTGGGGATATCTGAATTATTAAAAGGACTACATTCTCCTACCAAGTGACCAATTTTACTAGGCTTCAAGTAGTTTATTTATAACTCAGATTTAATTCATTCTTAAATATTTCAACATGTGAAAACTATATTTTACCCTACATAAAGTTTTCTATTTCTAAATATATCTTTAACACAGATACTTAAGAGCTCTTTTATCAAAATTCTACATATTCACTTGACAATTTTGATAAATACTTCACACCCTATTTTTTTAGCTTGAATATGTTAAGATAAAATACTTAGAGAAAAAAGACAAAGCAAAAAACACACCACACTGTTAAATATAAAAAACTGATGGTTGCCAAAGGGGAGGTGGGTGGGGGACTGGGGGCTGGGTGAAATAAAGGGGATCAAGAGTATATTTATCATGATGAGCACTGAGGAACGTTTAGAATTGTTCAATTATTGTATTATACATTTGAAACTAATCTAACACTGTACGTCAATTATATTTCAATTATTTAAAAATAGTATCTTGAGTGAGGATCCTATCAATTAAATTTCAATTTCCAAAAACAAACAAAAAAAAACCCCACAAAACTAAGAAAAGCAGAAAATAATTTAGTTGGTTAAAAAAAAAAGCATATCTACAAGAAAGATGGTAAAATTTTTTGAAAAAGTATAACTGTTTTCTGAAATTCAAACATAAGGGATATTACAAATTCAAAAAGAATTCTAATTATAATTCTAATTAGAATTCTAATTCTAACAAATTGATTTGTTCTTAGAATCGGTGTTATAAAAGGATTTGCTACATTCTTTATGTGTGTGTATGTGTGTCAAGTTAGACATACTAGTTTAATTTTTTATTTTTAATATAAAATATTAGTCATGTAAGTCATGAAGAAATAGAATTCTTGGAGCATTTTACCTACCTCTGTGTAGAATTTATTTTTCTTTTCTTTCAGGAAACAGTATTAAAATACAATTCTAACTCATAACGCATGTTTCACTAATTTCCCAGTTAGAAATTTTTAACCTTAGAGATCTATGTCTATGAATGCAATTCACAACTCACAGTTGTCCCTCTGAAAATAGGAGCACTATACATGATATAAAAAATGCAAATCCACTCCAGGGTTACTGCTCTAAATACATTCAGTGTAACTCTTTGTAATCATGTCTTTAATGGCTCAGTTGGCATCTTAAAAAGACATCCCCAGGCATCAATTCAGATCAGTTAAGTATCAGTGCTTCCTACTCATTCTGCATAAATACTTAGAACTAAAATAGAACATGTACTTTGACATAAGTATGCTAAAATAAATCTATGCCACCATAAAATACAGTACGACTTACAGGGTTTTTTTTAAGATTTTATTTTTTATTTTATTTTAAGTCATCTCTATAACCAACATGGAGCTTGAACTTAAAACTTCAAAATCACAAGTCACATGCCCTACTGACCAAGTCAGCCAGGTGCCTACAGATTTTTAAAGGGCATTTTGAAAATGAAATTTTAAGCTGTATTGTATTACCATCTATTTCAAAAATTCAATCACAAAATTTAGAAAATTTCAGGGAAAAAACTGAATTTCAAATACTTTTAACTTTTATGAAGAAAAAGACTCAGAGGGCTAGAGTAACTTGTCCAATGCCACAGGTCAGTTAGTAGCAGAGTCAGAATAAGAACTCGGATTTCTATTTTTTTTAATATTTTATTTATTTATTCATGATAGACAGAGAGAGAGAGAGAGAGAGAGAGAGAGAGAGAGAGAGAGGCAGAGACACAGGCAGAGGGAGAAGCAGGCTCCATGTCGGAAGCCTGACATGAGACTCGATCCCGGGACTCCAGGATCACACCCTCGGCCAAAGGCAGGCGCTGAACCACTGAGCCACCCAGGGATCCCCAAGAACTCAGGTTTCTTGACTTCATTTCACACTTGTTCATTTTGGTAAACAATGTTATTTTTTCCTATTTTGGTGTTGTTTTCCATCTCAGAGCCTTTATACACACCTACCCCCACCACCACCCTACCCAAAAAAGAAACCCATGAACTAAAATGGATTAGATCACTATAAGGTAAAATGCCATTTAAATTGCTTTTGTTTAAAAAATAAATAAATAAATAAATTGCTTTTGTTTTAAAAATAAATAAATAAATAAATAAATAAATAAATAAATAAAGTTGCTTTTGTCTTAAGTTAAAGCTTAAGCCACAAATGCTTAGATTTAAATTTGCATTGCACCTAAGATAGAAGAGATCTCTAAAGAACTGTATTTGCAAAATGCAAATTTAATAACATGGCCATTATCAAACATCAATAGAAAGAACTGACAGATGAAGAAAGGACATCTCTTCCTCTTTTCCAAAACTGCTATTTGAAGACAATGTTCAATGTTACTTCTAATAAAGAATTATCTGTGGATAAATTCTTATGATCTACTGTCAGAGAAAAGGTTGGGAATATATATTCTTCCCAATATGAGATAATGAGAACTGTTATTTATTGTTATTTACTACTTCCCTGACTACCAACTATTAACTCTCAAAATTCTATATTCAAAGGAGTCATCTGCCTTTGACCTAGATTTTTGAGCACAAGTATTTCCCCCCACTTGTATGCTTATTAATGTATTGCTTTACGGTACCCTTATTTTTTCTAAAGTAGGCAAGTAAGGTGGTAGATAAAAAGTACAGAAATAGATGACTAAAAATAAAGACAATTTATAAAAAGAAGCTGTTCAAAAAGTTTTTAGGCTTATACACCAAGTTAAACTCTCATGATTATTTTAAAACTACCAACAAAATAAATTATGAATTAAAGCAGAAAAGTATTAAGAAAGAAAAATTACTCAAATTTTCTATTGGAGAACTCAAAGTTAAGGGATGGGAGGTCAGGGATGCAATATTGCAAAATTATGTATCAGGGAAAACTACAGTCACTGCTCACTTTTATAGTACTATATAAAGGTTATCTACAGCCAAGATGAAATATATATATATACAAACTATAAAAGGGTTATTTAGCAATAAGAAAATAATTTAAAACAATAAGAAGTTAAAGAAAAGCAAAAATTATAATGCAACTACTTACAGCAAGAGAAGACGTTTGTAGACATGCATTTTTAATTCTTGGAATCAAAGCATTTTTCATGGATGGGTAGTCTATAAGATTCGCAAAGGTTGGAATGATGTTTAAACAGAGTTCCTATTAAGAAAATACACCAATTCGATCTTAGGGAAAGATTCTCTTCACCTTTTCTCTCACATATTAAAAAACATTTTGTATTTACAAGGCTAATTTAATTTGTCACATAGTTTGAAATAAACTTTCATGTACATTATATCATTTACTCCTTTCAATAACTATTTGAAAGAACAGTTATCATTAGTTTTCAACTTTATATATGAGGAAACAGACTCAAAAGACCATCTTCAAAATCACGCAAGGTCATATAAGCTAGCATATGGTAACAACATTTCCTTGGTCGCATTCCTAATTTCTTTCCCTGATAACACACCTCATCATTTATTATTTAAAAATGGGAACACCTAAGTTTTGCTATCTTTGAGGGACTAGCAAGTACACATGATGGAAAATCAAGTACAATGTGACATAAAACTATTCCTCTTAAATAAGGGATTTCTTAGCTGTTAACATATGTGACAGAATATAATACATTTTCTTTAAAATATTTTAAAAGATAATTTAATTATACTGGGGGGAAATGCAATAAGATACTATTATATAACTCCAGTTTTTAAAATGTGTATGTACATGTGTCTGTCTATAGGCTTAGGGAGAAAGACTGAAGGATAGATCTGGAAATGTTAACTCTGGACATCTGGAAATGTTAACTCTGGACATCTCTGAGAGAGGATTTTGATTTTCTTTTTTTTAATTAATTAATTGATTAATTAATTTATTTATTTATAAATAATAAATAATAAATAATCTCTTTATACAGAGAGAGAGAGAGAGGCAGAGACACAGGCAGAGGGAGAAGCAGGCTCCATGCACCAGGAGCCTGACATGGGATTCGATCCTGGGTCTCCAGGATCGCGCCCTGGGCCAAAGGCAGGCGCTAAACCGCTGCGCCACCCAGGGTTCCCGGATTTTGATTTTCTTTATATTTTTACATACTTCCAAATTCTGAAACTTAAGCAAGTATAAGTCACAGAAACAGGAAAAGGTTATTTACAACATTGTTAGCCAATGCTGGCCCTAATGTAAATGACTGTAACTGGGAACTCTGAATAAGAAGCTAAGAGGAAAAGAGGGGCGGACTAGGGGAAGGGGGACTAAATGTGGCATAAATGTGTATCAGGGAAAGAGCTGGACAAACTTTGGTATGCTTAAAGACATTCATTTGTCGTTAGCAGATAGAAATGAATTAACTACTAAGAATTTGTTATCAAAACAATGGCCACATATTTTATTTGCTTTATTCTCAGATTTCCAAGAGGCAGATATAAGAGTTATATATTTATATCCACTTAGAGCCACAATAAATAAGTGGGTGACATAACTTGAGGATAAGAAGTACAAGCTACAATCACGGGACCATTTTCCACAGATTGGAGAGAATACGCAAGGATGAATAGTTCATGAGACACTGCTCCTGTTACCAGAGGCTGTGTCCGTAGGGAAGGTCAGCCTTTAATTCAAGACAGTGGGCATGCATGTGCATTGTACTGTATAATCTAGCAGTAGGTTAAAAAGAGGCAAATCTTAAATTATGTCTAAATCATTTAGCTAAAGGAGGGGAGGAAGAGCTCTTCCGAGGAAATACGATCAAGAACCTATGAATAGGAGATTGAAAGAAATCAAACTCAAGGAAGTCATCTGCTCATTCTCAGTATTCTCTGCCTCGTAGTATATACTTTATAACTGATGGTGGAGAGAGGAGAATAAACACAGCTTCTGTCTTTAATTTTAAAGGTAAAAATGTTTTAAATTGGTTCACATATACTATTCCTGTTCATGCCTCTAAGCATCCTAACTTTGGTAAACCATCTCTACTTTCCCAAATACTTTTCTAAATTCTTTAGCCTCTTAAATATTTTTAATCAAATTTCACTTTATAAATATCACCCCAAAAATGAATTTCAGAAGTTACTTTCTAGTCTTCTACTTGCATGAAACTTGAAAAGATGTTTCTTACTCTTGCTCTAGGATTCTCCCAAAGCTTAGTCTTTTAACTTTATCAGACTTCACCGAGCAATGCTGATACTAATTAGCTGGATTGGTGACTGAAGACTTATATTGAATGATACAAGAAATGCTGGTTTGGAAAATTCAGCAAAGTTGCACAGGTTAATCTGGATTAAATATTAACTATTTTAATAAATACTTATTGGCCAATACTGATTGGCTAAATGAATCCCCTTAGGAAGAAAAATGGGCTTTCATGCCTTTTCTCTCTTTCTTAATTTCACTGACTATAAGACCAGGTTGGTGACCAAGGCCTGTGGGGAATGTTTTCGGAAGCAATAATTCACAACTCCTTTGGAAAGGGCTAAAATGTAGAAATAAGTACACCTTCCCTAATCCTCTCACGTTAAAAGCATAACCTTATACGGACAAAATTTAACATCAATTTCACAACTTTGAACAAAAGAACTTAGACAAAGACTGAAATGAGTCAAAAAAGTGACCTTATACATGTGGTATTAGTTTCACTTCACGTATTCTTAAGTAATCTCTTCACCCAACATGGAGCTCAAACTCACAACTCTGTGATCAAGAATCACATGCTCTAATGATTGAGCTAGCTGGGTGCCCCTGATACTAGGTTCATATTAGGGAGAAAAAAAAAGGCTTTGGTCAATAGCTTTTAAAAATTAAAATTCTGCTTTTCTTTACTAGGATTTCTATACTGGCAAAGAAACTTTAAATATAAAACCATTTATGCAGTGAGATGTTCTTAAAATAAGTACTTATCTTCCAAAGTAAAAAGAAAAATAAAAAAAATTAAACTTTAATAGTGATCCAAAATTATTTTCCATATAGCCTTACAGAACCAAACTTTTAATAGCAAAGCTAAAGGACTAAAAGTACTAAAAGTACATAACAGTTTAACATCACCTTTGTCACAAAGCATGGCTACAAATGTACATTAGGAATAGTCACACTAAATTACTGTCTAGCTTTCTATCTACCTGCTACACAAATTAACTTCAGTATAGAAGGAACACTTAGAAGACTGAGTTATCAAAGCATGAAAGAAAATTATAATTATGGGAGTACATATTTAATGTTTTCATAAAAAAAGGCACATGTATCTTTGACATTTTCATTCCTATGTTAGTTAACCATTTAGGAAGAAGATACACTGATCCAAACTATAATAAATCAAATCTTCCAGAATACAACATTTTTGATAAATGAAAGTAATGAATAATTTTACCTCATTAATACAGGTATTTGTCAATTGATTCTTTAAATTAATTGGGAGCAGATACAGTAGTAGATACTAAGTATACGTTAGTACCAGTAAACCATCCAATTCAATGGATTCATATATATCACTATTGAGTTTCATGTAAAGGATTTTACAAATCAAACCCAAGACATACTTCTTTCTTTTGCCTTAAAAATCAAAAACTTTTTAAAAATCAAAATCATTATTAAAGAAAAAAAATCAAATATTATACCTGAATTTGAATGGAAGGAGCCTCTAGTGCTCTGTAAACCATTGGTAGGACACTGTTCTTAATCTCATCAGGAGGAGTTTTGGTTAGTAGCAAATCCATTTTTTGTAAGAAAATTAACAAAATCTGTGTAAAAAAGGGGAACAATGTATTAAAGTCCAGAATCTTTATAAGATTTCACATATGATAAAATTTAAAGTATTTTCAGAAGAGTTAGTTTTATATCTTGACACTCACCATGTTGCTAGCCTGAAGGCATGGAAGACAAAAACATACAAATCAAGTTTCTTACATATTCAGAAGCACAATATTTAACATCTGCTCTCAGTTTAAACATTTAAATGAAGACTAATTTCCTAACTCTCATATATCTTCAGTAATACGTCACATACTCATAACTACCACTATCTGGAAATCTACTGAATTAAAAAAAAGAAAAAAAAGAAAGCCTGAGAACAACAAAGTCAGGTATCCCAAAGTAGTAAATTTACTTGGCTTCTAAGATTAAGAGTAGAAGAAAAGGTACAGAAATGAAAGAGACTGTCATGAGAAATTCTAGAAGGAAACAGTTTTTGTTCCAGATCACTTGTTTTCTCACCTAGCTGCCACCCATACCTATATTATAAGGAACAAACTGTCCCTTTTATTCATGCAGAATACTGAGTGAAGATGTGGCTGCACGCACCACTTTCCTTCCTAATGTCCTGACAGGTTTGGGGAATTCTGCTTCAAAGCCTATAGTTCCCTCACTGCCCCTTCTTAGCCATAGGAACTCTTGCCTTACTAGCACAGACTTCCTTCTCTCCCCCTCCTTTCAAAGGAAGGGCCATAAAAAACTTGTCATAGAACCATTAAACCAAGTAGTTGATGATTTACTAATAAGCTCCTGCCATGCAGTGGCAAAAACATGTAATAATATTTACTATATACCTAGAAATTTCATTTAATCTCAACAACACTTTTGCTTTAGAAATGAGCAAAGAGAGGCTTTAAGAGAGTAATGATTTGTCCAAGTCATACTTCTAGTAAGGATGAAGAAGACCAGATTCAAACACAGGTGTGTGACTCTACTGGTTGTAAATACAAGACTACCTTGAATCCGACAAATAAATATTACAGTAGAGTCTATATCAGAGACTAATTACATTTTCACTTACAGTACACACACATAATACACATATTACTTCCACGGTGCTGTAAGCATTTTCCTTCTTCTGGTGAAACTACTTGTTACCAGTAAAATAAAGAGAAACAACTGGCATAATAAACTATCTACAAATTAAAGACCCTAAATAACAAAACGAAACAAAACAAAAAAGCAAATACTTAAAAGTGCAGCAGAAAAATAACATCTCTTTTCCCAAACCTATAACTTTTAATAAGGCCAATAAGAAGAGTATAACATTTCATTACAATTTATTTTCTGAGATGGTAAGTTATGGAGAGCTATAGACATTTACTTGTAAAGTTTAATTATAATTTTAACAATGGTTCACTTCAAACACACACAAAATTGCTTCTGACTAACGGAAAAGAAAGTCTCTTATACTTACCACATTTTTTAAGAAGTCGCATACCCATTCCTTCCATTTTCAATGATAGTCATCATTGACTAATATCATTAAATAATAGGAAAGAGTACCTATACACATACCTGGATTGGCTCCTGCTGTTTAAAGACAGGACCAAGTTCAGGTAGAATTAATTTGACATATTCTTCTTTGGTGCATTCTTCGGCAATCAGTAGAACATTGGGCAAAACAAAAGGTACCATGTCAGGGTTTACAAATTCTGAAGTCAAACAAGGCAAAATTCTCTGCACAATGACACGCTGAAAGGCAAAAATGTTTTCATAAAACTAAATTTAACTTCAGGTCTTTAGTATTAATATTGAAGTTACAGTCTAAAATCTCCAATCCCTAAAAATAATAATAATAATAACAATTAATAATAAATAAAATAAAATCTCCAATCCCTTTGGGGAAGATAACCATATAATTTACAGTTGAAACTAGGACATTTTTGAAAGTAAATTGGGGTGCTCCTGCTAACTATGTCAGGACAAAAGAAATAACTTGGGAATGTTACAGATAGAGGGAGACATATGGTCACCATTCCTTTAGGAAATCTTCCCTCATTAGTCTATTAACATGTTTTCTTCTCTTCATTACTCATGATTCGTAACACACAACTTAAACACTGTTCTGTACTGTTAATTGTTTCACGCATGTTAAGTCCATCTAACAAATACTCTAAGAGCTGAGAGTGAGAACAGTGTTTTAGGTTTCCTCTTTATTCTCCATAGCATCTAAATGAAGGGCTAGACAAACAGTGCATAATCAATGAGTATCTGACAGATTAAAGACTGGAAATATTTTTGTAGACAGGAATATCACCAGTATTCTGACCACTGATTTCTAATGCCTTCACCAACATTTTTTATACTATGTTACACTCATGATTTAATAAACCTGAGAGGGTAGTTAAAGGAATTGGAGGGCAGCCCCAGTGGCACAGTGGTTTAGCGCCCCTGCAGCCCAGGGTGTGATACTGGAGACCCTGGATCGAGTCCCATGTCAGGCTCTTTGCATAGTGCCTGCTTCTCTCTCTGCCTGTGTCTCCACCCCCACCCCGTGTGTCTCTATGAATAAATAAATAAAGTCTTTACAAAAATAAATAAATAAAAATAAAGGAATTGGAGAAGCTAGTATCAATACAGAAGTATCCCCTTAATTGCTGGTGAAGCAATAATCTCCACAATGACAGCTTATGGACTTCTCTCCTGAAATTTAGTGTCCAAGTGCTACCTTTGCATAGGTAGTATTCTAATTCTTTTTATCTATATGATTTTTAAAATTATTTTTGGACCCTGTCAAAAAGGTCCACTAAATTTTCAGCTTCAGTCTATAGCCTTCTATAGTCATTAATGCACCTAAGCAAAAGTTACATTTATTTCTTCTGCAAGAGTTATTATAGAGTAAACATAATCTTGACTATAATTTAAAAAAAAGTTCAACAACAAACCTTGGGCATTTTTGGTAGAACTTTTGGGAGTCCTTTGAAAAACTGTGATTTCTGAAGATTATCTCTTTGGAATAAGGTATCAAAATACTGCAGCGTTACTGCACCAACATCATCGAAGAAAGGAATCTAAAAACAGGGAAATAAAATTATTTTGATAAATATTAAAGTACTTCTCATACCTGAAACTGCCATAATATAATGAAAAAATATTCAGATACATTTAGCAAAATGCTAAAGACCATTTAATAATTCTTATTACAAAAATCAAAATAAGGAAGTAATAACCAAATTTATTTTCAAGTTCAAACTTTCAAGTCAGTATCTATGAGCTGGCTAGGCAGTAACATTTTACCTAACTAGTAGATATTGAAAGATTAATTATCTTGAAAGCATAAAGAGTACCATTTATCTATTAAAATCCACACTTACATAAGTAAATTAAAAGGCTATGCATTCATGTGTCCAGAATTTCTATACCTACATGACTATTAGACCTCTGATTATTTGAAATCTTAATTTTATATCAGAGCAATTACATACATAAACTAACTGTTTAAGATGAAAATAAGTTAAATATTTAACACATTCAAGGGTACTCATGTTATTTGGGGACTCTACCTGACTAAATCTTGCTTTAGAAACCCTTAATCTACTTTTAACTCGTTGTCCCTCCACCTAAGGCAGAAATTCATGTGTACTCACCTTTGTCATTTGATCTGCATCTGGTCTTACAGTTGGAGTTACATTTAACAGCAGTTTTACATGCTCACGGACTTCCTCAGGTATATTTGAAAGTGAACTAGATCCTAAACGACTCAACTATTTAAAAGAGTGATAATATTAAATGTGAATATAAAATATTCAAAAAGATAATGCATTTATAGTCAATAGTCTATTTTAAAGTCTTCTTTGAAATTTACTCAAAAATATGTTAGAATGAACAAACCGCTAATTCAACTGTAGCAAGATAATTAAAATACTAATCTTCAATACCTGAAATTGTTTCTATTACTGAAACAAAATGCCCAGCATTTTAGATCATAGTTCAGTATTCACTCTAGTAAATAAATGCCACAATTAAAGTTGTGATCACAAACTTTAGTCCTCATTATTTACAGAATTACTTTTGTTAAGTTGATTTTATGCAAACTTAAAATATAAGATATCATCTCATTTTAGAGAATTTTCTGAACACTTTTTTAAAACTCAAAGAAACATTTAAACATTTTTAATGCAAGCAAATATTTACATATAAGGCAAATTACCTGATCCAACTGCCTACTAAAACTCTTGTAAATATCTTGCTTGTTAACTTCAAATATGGGTTTTCCTTTATTAAATACAGCATACATGACTGTTCCTAGTGAGTACATATCACTGGCTGTTTCACAGCTCACTGAAAGTATGTATTCAGGAGCCAAATATTCAGGATTTGGAAGACACAATGATGGTAAATTTGGGTCCCATTCTTTACAAGGAAACTTAGGCTACAAAAAGACAGAAAAGGGATTATATAGACTACATATCTCAAATTAAAACAAAAAACCACTATCAAGCAGTAGCAACCTAGTTTTAAATTTGTACTCAGTCATGCAAGGAAAAATATCACCACCAAAAAAAAAAAAAAAAAATCACCACCACCTTCAATCCTGAAATTCTCAAATTCTCAAATCTGGAAAGGACACTAAACAGACCGAGAGATATGAATAAGAACTCTTGCAACCTGGGTGCCTGGGTGGCTCAGTCCATTGAGCGTCCAGCTCTTGATTTTGGCTCAGGATTTCAGGGTTGTGAGATCGAGCCCTTCAATGGACTCCATCCTGACCCCAGGGCCTGCTTGGGATTCTCTCTCTCCTTTTACCCCTGCCCCTCTGATTGCTCCCCCTGCCTCAAAATAAATAAACATTAAAAAAAAAAAAACTCTTGTAACCATCAGATTATTGGGGCTCTCCTCCAGCAGACAAATTATCACTACAAGATGCAGTAAGAATATGAAAAGGTATAACCTATGTCCTACGATACATAGGCTTCAAGTTTTATTGGACTCAGGTTATTATTTGGAACTTTATTCTTTCACTATCTAGCTGTGTGATTTAGTTAACAGGTTCAAAAGGTTGTTGTAAGATTAAATGAATGCATGGGAAGAAAATGGACCTAACAGTGTCTGACCCACAGTACATACTCAACCAATACTAATTCTTTCTGCTTCCCTTAAAAGTGTTTACTTGCTAGAGATGCACAATGTTTGTTAGTGTATTTGACATCCTCAGGAAAAAAACCTACTTAACCTGATAGTTCTCAAATTTGTTTACTTCATGTGGAGGTTCCTCAAAGAGTTAAAAATAGATCTGCCCTACAACCCAGCAATTGCACTGCTGGGGATTTACCCCAAAGATACAGATGCAGTGAAAGACCAAGACACCTGCACCCCAATGTTTATAGCAGCAATGTCCACAATAGCCAAACTGTGGAAGGAGCCTCGGTGTCCATCGAAAGATGAATGGATAAAGATGATGTGGTATATGTATACAATGGAATATTACTCAGCCATTAGAAACGACAAATACCCATTATTTGCTTCGAAGTGGATGGAACTGGAGGGTATTATGTTGAGTGAAATAAGTCGATCAGAGAAGGACAAACATTATATGGTTTCATTCATTTGGGGAATATAAAAAATAGTGAAAAGGAATAAAGGGGAAAGGAGAGAAATTGAGTGAAAATATCAGTGAGGGTGACGGGTGACAAAACATGAGAGACACCTAATTCTGGGAAACGAACAAGGGGTAGTGGAAAGGGAGGTGGGAGGGGTGTTGGGGTGATTGGGTGATGGGCACTGAGGGGGGCACTTGTCAGGATGAGCACTGGGTGTTATGCTATATGTTGGCAAATTGAACTCCAATAAAAAAAATTTTTTAAGTTAAAACAATTTTTTTTAATTTAAAAAAATTTGTTTACCTCTAGCATCCTTTACTCAAGTAACACTACTGTGGAATTAATGAACTAAAGAATACTCTTAGGTAAGATGAACACTAGAAATTTTCTATAAAGCTATACATTTAAACCTACATTGTACCACATAGCCTGTTTCTACACATTTATCAGACATAAATTCTCTAGTCCATTCTGGATGTATCATAAATTTCCACAGCTTGAACAAAATCAGAAGACTGGGGCACCTGGCTGGCTCAGTCAGTAGAGCATGCAATCCTGGATCTCAGGAATGGGAGTTCAAGCCCCACGTTGGCTGTAGAGATCACTCAAAATCTTTTTGAAAAAAATTAGAAAACCTTCATTACCTCTTGTTCAGAAGGATTGGTTGATGATACACAAAAATCAAAGCCCATTATTTTCCAGGCTCCACTTTTATTCAAAATTATATTTTCAGGTGTAATATTTCCATGGACCATTTTCACACTGCTATGTAAAAATGACAATCCTTCTGAAACCTGTAAATGGGGCAGGGTGGGGGGGAGAGATACTTTTACATTAAATAAAGACCCTCTCAATTACAATAATAAAATGTCTCTTAAAAATAGTAATTGCTGCTTCTCTCAATAAAAGATTTTTTTATATGTCAGGGAACAATTTAATTTCATCATAAACGCAAAAGAGTAGATATTCTCAGTTGCCACAACGATCTAAGCATTAGTTGGAAGATCCCAGTTATAAAACCAGAGTACAACTCTTTATTAAAGTTCCTTTCTATACGAACATAAATAAAATCAAAGATAATTTAAAACCACTTCTCTATACAAACTTACTCAGTTTCTGTGTTTGAAATGTGAAGGAATCTTCAGTTCTCATTACAGATAGTAAATATCAAGGGACTCCTTGTCAATTCAATTCTAATTCTTAATACTTTTCTATATTTATACTTCATATTGAAATTCAGTTTTTATGAATTGTGCTCAGTTTTCATGTTAATTGATGGTCACATATTCTCAAATTGGATTAGTATTTGGTCTTTTTAATATTTGTACCTGAGACTACTATGGAATTTGTTAACCAAAAATGAAGGCTGGATTTCTGTTTCCAGGGGTAGATTTTGGCAAACTAACACTTCCCAACTTGCAGGACACCAGTCTCCCAGGTTTCCCCTCAACTCCATTGGTCACTGCTGGTTCCTCCTCAGTCCCCTAAACTCGTGGACTCTGTTTGGACATCTGAAGTGTTCATCTACTCTTTCTCAGTGTTCCCACAACATTCAATACCATCCAGATGTCGACTGTTCCTACATTATCTCCAGGCTGGGCCTCTATTCTCAAGTCCAGACTTGATTATCTGACTGCCTTCCTGACTTCTCTCCCCTTGAATGTTTTATAAGCATCTCATTTTTCAAAGAATCTAAAACTGAGCCTCCCCTTCAATTCAGTTCTCTCTTCCTGTTGTCTTTTCCCCACATCAGTCATTGGTCACTGATTCACTTTTCCATTTTTTAAAAACCTCTGAGTTATCCTGCACTACTCTATTTTTCTTATATAACAAAGGCATCCGCAAATTCCAATACCTTCACCACCAAAATATATTTAGAATTTGACCGTCTTACCACTTTCCCTACCCTCGACCATCACATCTCTGGCCTGTATTACTATAGGTACCACCTACTTCACCTCTTTGTTCCTGCTCATATTCCTCAACATAATTTAATTCTCAATAAGCAGCTACCAGATCATGTCACCTTTCTGCTCAAAGCCTTTCAAAGGCCTTTCCTTTCTTTCAGAGTAAAATTCAAAGTATTTCTCTGGCTTTCAGGGCCTAAGAGGACTTAGCCACTCATTAACTCTCTGATTTTGTCTCCTACTATTAATCCTATTAACTACTCTCTACCACTCCAGGTATTTCACTATTCCTTGAACATGTCATGCATGATTCTGTCTCAGGGAATTTGCACTTGCTGTTCCTTCCTGCCTAGATCATTCTTTCCCTAGGTATCTAGATGGCTCACTTCTTTGATTTTTTCAGATCTTTACTCAAATGTCCCCCTTTCATTTATAAAGTTCCTGATTACTCCCATTCAAAAGTGCAACATTTTCCTCCCCCTCCAAACTATCCTCTCTTCTCCCTTCCCTTATTTTCTCCACATGCACTTATGATAATCTAATATACTGAATATTTACTTATTTTATTGTCTTTCTTCCCCATGAGAACATAATTTCTAAAAGGCAGGAATTTGTGTCCATTTTTTCCCCTGGTATACGTTTAGCACCCAGAACTGTGCCAGACATACAGCTATCCAATAAATATTTGCTTAATGAATGGATATGAGAAAGAATTCTCTAAAAAAAAAATAAATAAAACCTTACAATTTCAACACAAAGGTAAGTCAACAATAGTTGACTCAAATACTCAAGAGTATTATTTTAGAAAGTATCTGGATTCCTTTTCCCACTTCATTACTTACTAGTCTCGCAACTTTGAGCAAGTCACTAAACCTACGTAGGTCCCACTGGTAAATTACTTCAAATGATGGTATGTTAAGATCTCAATAAATGCGGGAAATCATATTAGATTCCACACCATTCCCAATTCCCATCCCCATAGTCAGTCAACAGGGCCTATTTTAACTCTGCATAATTTCGGGATCCCTGGGTGGCGCAGCGGTTTGGCGCCTGCCTTTGGCCCAGGGCGCGATCCTGGAGACCCGGGATTGAATCCCACGTCAGGCTTCCGGTGCATGGAGCCTGCTTCTCCCTCTGCCTGTGTCTCTGCCTCTCTCTCTCTGTGACTATCATAAATAAATAAAAATTAAAAAAAAAATTAAAAAAAAAAAACTCTGCATAATTTCACCCTATCCCTCTAGTACTTTATGTGATTTTTGAGCAAGACTTTTCAACTATCAACTATTTTTACATGCAGGCACTATGCTAAGTACTTATATAAATTTACATGTTTGATTCTGAAAATAATCCTACATAGTAGTATATCCCCTATGCCCAAGTTCCACTCTTCTAGAATGGCACTTCTAAAACGCCTGTCAGACCAGATCATTTACACTGCTTAAAATCCTTTGGTTCAGGGCCTGATCCCAGGGTGCTGGTATCGAGTCCCGCATTAGGCTCCCCACAGGGAGCCTGCTTCTCCCTCTGCCAAGGTCTTTGCCTCTCTCTGTGTCTCTCAAGAATAAATAAAATATTTAAAAAAAGAAAAAAATCCTTTGGTGTTCCCCATCACCAACAAGGTCTTTTTCTATCTTTTCAGTTTCATTTTTCACCACTCTCTCAGATGTAATGTGCTACAACTAACTGCCTGAATATTTATCCTCAGTAACTAGTATAATAACCAATTAGGACTTAATATCTCTCTAATGAATGTTCTCCAGTTCTAACACATTGGAACCCATGAAATTCATATAAGAATTGCATTTTTAAAACTGCTTATTTCCCCAAATATAATTTATAAAATACACAAAGTTTTCCAAGTCTAGAAAAGTCAAATGATTTTTGACAAAGGTACCATGACCATTCAATGGGTAAAGGATGGAAGTTTCAACAAAGGCTACTGGGAAAATTTGATATCCATAGGCAAAACAAGTAGGTTGGGCCCTTACCTTAAACCATATGTAAAAATCAACTCAAAGTAAATCAAAAGCCTAAACATAATACTAAAACCGTAAAATTCTTAGGAGAAAACAGAGGAAAAGCTTCATGATACTGGATTTGGCAACCACTTATTCGATATGACATCAAATGCACAGGCAACGAAAGAAAAAATAAATTGGATATACCAAAATAAAAACTTTTATGCATCAAAGGACAAAATCAACAGAGTGAAAATGCAACCCAGAGAATGGTAGAAAATATTTGCCAATCACATATCTGATTATATACTGAGGTTAATATCTGGAGTATATAATAAATGCCTACAACTCAACAACAACAAAATAACCTGATTAAAAAACGGGCTAAGGACGTACATAGACACTTCCCCAAAGAAGATATCCAAATGGACAATAAGTTCATGAAAAGATGCTTAAATTCACTAACTCCTAAGAAAATGCAAATCAAAACCACAACGATCTACCATCTTGTTCCCATTAGGATGGCTACTATAAAAAACTACAAAATAACACACGTCAATGCAGACATGGAAAAATTAGAACCCTGTGCTACCCTACTGATAGAAATATAAAATGGGATAGCCATGATGGGAAACAGTATGCTAGTTCCTCAAAAAAATAAAAAATAAAATTACTATATGGTCCAGCAATTTCACTTCTGGGTCTATCCCCCCAAAAAAGGGAAAACAAGACCTTGAAGAGAAACTTCTACACCCACGTTCATAGTAGTACTACTCACAATAGCCAAGATTTGGAAGCAATCCAAGTGTCCATAGACAAATTAATAAACATAATGTGGTAAATACATACAATGCATTATTCAGTCTTAAAAAGGGAGGAAATTCTGACACATGCTACAACATAAATAAACCTCAAGAACATACTAAGTGGAATAAACCACAAAAGGAAAAATAATATATGATACCACTTTTATGAGGCACCTAAAGTAAAGTAGTCAAATCATAGAGAATTAAAGTAAAATGGTTGCAGGGGCTGGGGAGTTGTGGCGATGAGTATGAAGAGTTATTGTTTAATAGATACGACTTCAGTTTTGCAAAGTGAAAAAGTTCTGGAAATGGATGGTGGTATGGTTGCACAACAATATAAATGTACTTAATGTCCCTGACCTGTACACTTAAAAATGGTAAGATGGTCAATTTTATGTCATGTGTATTTTACAATTAAAAATACATATACTGTTGAGAATAAGACAAGCCAGACACTAGAAAATATTTGTAAATATTGAAAATATTTGTAATGTATCTTTGTATACATTACAAATGTATATTTGTAATGATAAAAGACTTGTGCCCATAATTTACAAAGAAATCTCAAAACACAGTAATAAAAAAACAACCCATTCAAAAATGGGCATTCATTAAAAAAATGGGCAAAAGAGCTGAATAGATATTTCAACAAAAAAAATATTCAGATGGCAAAGAAGTGTATGAAAAGGTGTTCAACATCATTATTTCATCAGGGAAATGCAAATTAAAACTCCAACAAAATACCACTGTGTACCAATTAAGATAGCTAAAATTAAAAAGATTGATCATACCAACTTTTGGCAAACATATGGAAAAAATGGAACTCTCATACATTGCAACAGGAATGTAAAATGGTATTACCGCTTTAGAAGTCTGTAGTTTCCAAAGAACCAAAATACATGCATACCATTTGATCTAGACATTCCACTCCAAGGTATTTAACCAAGAGAAATTAAAGCATATGCATATACAAAAACTTATAGATGAGTGTTCATGGCAGCTGCATTTGCAATAACCAAAAACTAGAAACACCCCAAATGAAATGATCATCAACAGATAATGGATAAACAAACTATGGTGTGCGTATATTTATACACACACACACACACACACACACACACACACACCCTGGGCTACTACTCAGCAATAAATAAGAAGTACTGATACACATAATACAGATGAATCTCAAAGAATTAAGTGAAATAAGTCAGACAGGAAAAAACTATATATTGTATGATTCTAGTTATAAAATTGTAGAAAATACAAACTGATTCATGGGAACAGAAAGCAGGTCAGTGGTTTCCTGGGACAAGCGATAGATAGTAAGAAGTAGGAGGGAGGGATTATAGTGGGTAAGAAAACTCTTGGGCGTCATGAATATGTGCATAATCCTGATTGTAGTGATGGTTTCACTAGTATATATATGTCAAATTTATAAAACCATATAGTATTTTGAATGTGTGAAGTTTATCATATGCCAATTAATATCAATAAAGCGTTTTTTTAATAAAGCGGTTTTTAAAAAATAACAAATAAAATGATCTCTGTCCCCAAAGAACTAAGAATCTCCTGTATAAATATATGCTACAAAAATATACATATATACACTACAGAGTTGAAGATATTTTGGTAGACAGGGAAAGAAAAATCAGAAAAAGTGGACATATAAGAAAAGTGTAACTATCTCGATACTGATTACATAATTTCCTTAAAGATTTAATTTTTATTTTTTAAGTATGTTAGTACTTCAACTTAATATTTTGTTTATGAAATTGCATTCACAAAGTTTAGCACTCAAAAAAATCAAAAGGGAACCAACCCATCAACAAATGAGTAAGTGCTCTTCTACAAAGGTTACCAATGTTATGTTTTACAAACCTAAAATATAATTTTTTTAATGATTTTATTTATTTATTCATGATAGTCACACAGAGAGAGAAAAAGAGGCAGAGACATAGGCAGAGGGAGAAGCAGGCTCCATATAGGGAGCCTGACGTGGGATTCGATCTGGGTCTCCAGGATCGCGCCCGGGGCCAAAGGCAGGCGCTAAACCACTGTGCTACCCAGGGATCCCCTAAAATATAATTTAAACCTAACAATATACTGTAAAAAAAAATGGCAGAATACAGAAATAATTTTTAAATTACTCAAAGGACCCAAAGGTTTACATAAAGCAGTTGATATTGCTAATAAGTTTTAAGTAGCCAAAAACAATTTTGAAGGATAAAACTCTTTTCACATGATGAATAAAATACATACCTGAAGCAAACCATATTTAGTTTCTACATCATAAAGGTTATACTCCTTAATGTCTGGAGATACAGGAGAAGGTAGATTTTCCCAATTACCTAAAACATTGGCTAAACTGGCAAAAACTGGTTCTGTACAAAACGCCAAGCAATCTCTGTTTTAAAAAAAGAAAAAGTTATTTACCATCATTTTTTTACACATTATCAAAGTCAAATATACAGAATATTAGTGGTCAACAAGAAGGTAGAAATCTAGATTTATTTTCAGCATTAATATAACATTTAAGCCACCATTTTCAGCATATGCTGCAGATTTTCCAGACCCCTCTGAGCAAGAAAAGTCAGAAAGAGGCCCAGAGCACAGCTCCAGATCCCCTCTCACTACTTCAATCAGAGCAGCTATGCGCCTTTTACCTACTTCATATATAACTTAAAATGGTGTCACAATGTTTAAATTTTTTAAATTATTGCTTTTGATGTAGAAGAATATTTAGAAATTTGGAAAATGTTAGAAATTAACACTCAACTGGCTTTATGGAGTAATTATAAAGAGCTCAGGCTTTGACAAATACCCAACTTCAAGTCTCAGCATCCCTATTCGGACTAGGTGACTTGGACACCTCAGCTTTGAGCCTCACTATCACCATTTGTAAAATGGTGATAACAAACCACCTTAATGGACTACTGTGAAGATCAAAGGAGATAATGAATGTAAAGTATAAAGTACATAGCAGAGTGACTAGCATGAAAACTTAATAAATCTCTACCACTATTATAATTACCAAGTGTTTGAGACTGAGACTCAAGACCTAACATTTTATGCCTTGGGCTTAGGCTCTGGCAATGAAGAACTATAAGGTAGTGCGGTAAAAAAGCTCAACCAAGCCTCTGCACGTGGACTGTGTTTAACAGCAAGCACACCTTTTGCAGTTTCATCTGCCCGCTATACCTGTGTGACTTTTCTTGCACTTTGAACCCATTTTTCAAATGAAAGCATATGCAGAAGTTCATACATGGGAGATTAAGAGAGAGCTGCTTGGGGCTGAGGGAGAAAGCAACACCTGATCAATCATCAACAAAGATGCTACCTTATTCTTTACTCTCTCACCAAGCTCATAAACACAGTGGACACCAGGCTTTCATTTGCTGGGGGAAAACCGATCAAATACTCTGAAGTCTTTTCTACGGTTTTCTAGAATTCCCAGAACTCATGTATTTGACTCTTATTTTTTTCCTCCATGTCTTGACCCCAACATCATCCTTGGCCACATCAACATCCATATGATTGTTCCTCCAGCGGAAGCCCTCTAATCTTTCATGAATATTCACTCCCATCACCATTACAAACAGTCACATACCAAAAGGTCCTCTTCTCAAGAACTGCTTCCCCAACCACAGCTACTTACTAGCCATCATCTCCTACTACCCCTTTACTACCTCCACCAAATCAAGCCCACCAGCACCTTTATTCACCAAATTCAAAGTATTCAGTACTGACCATATATATTCGATTACTTTCTTTCTCCGGAACTATCACAATAAACTATCACCCAAATTACCCTTTACTCAGCAAACCCTTATTAACCTATAATAACCACCAGAAGTTTCTTTCACTCTCTTATATCATAAGCAGAAGGAAAAAATAGAAAGCTCAAATCTTTTTAAATTCAGTGTAAAGTCACATAGTGTACTTTAATCTTGTTTTTTTTTTCAACATTCAAGAACATTCCTTTATAGCCCTCTTCTTGGTTCCTCATTCCATGGTCCCCTTTAACGACTACTCATCTATTATCCACTTTTTACTTTAAAAAAGCATAAAATTCATCTAACATGAATGACTTAATTTCCCTAAACTCCACTTCAGTGTATTAGTGATTAAACTATATTCCTAAAATTTCCTTTGAGTTCCTCCTGTCAGACTTTATTCATATAATGAAGTTCTCCCTGCTAGGCTCCTTGATATCTATTTTCTAGCTTCCAAACCACCATTCTACAACTGATGTATTTGAAGATCAATAAAAATCTCTGACTAGTCAAATGTAATGAAGTCTTTCTTCTCGGTCCTTATTTTCATTTACTCAGTGCCATGAGTGTTAGTGGGTCCTTTTCTCCCCTCCCCTCCTTTAGCTTCCATAACATGCTGCCTGTTTTTCTCCTGCCATGTAACAATGATCATTCATCAGTCATTCCTTTTCCTGGCTCTTCTTTCCCCTCTTCATTCCAAATACTGTCTTCAGTACTCTACTCTTTTGACTCATGCTCTTGAAAAATTCTTTTTTTCATGGTTTTAATTACCACCTACCTCCATGTTACTCTCACTGTATATCACCCAACTCGGGGCTTTCACCTGGATGACTTTATTATAGCACATTTCTTTTGGATAATTCCAGTGTTATCTCTACATTATTAATTCATTAAAAACTGGAATTCATGTTTTTCCTCCCCTAAAGTTGTCCTATTTCTATCAACTTTACAGCTTTACAACAATGAAAATGCCTTAAAGTAATCCTTGAATTGTCTTTCGTAATAATTGCCAACAAATCCCTAGTTCTATAATACTTAAATCACTATAAAAGAAGCTGCAGGGATAGCTTCTCCCCTCAAGAGATGTGTAATGATGAAATATAAAACACATTGATACAAGTTAAAGTAATAAAGATGGGTAGGATTCTGATAGGTGAGATGGTAGATGCTGATAGAAAACACTCCAGAGAAAACAGTACAGTTCGGAAAGCTCAGGCCAAGTATAGCAAACAAAACTTACCCACTTCAGAATAAAGAGTTCACAATAGTGAATTTACATAAGAGCCAACAACTATACTCTTCTTTTGGGTTTGTTCATGAAAAAGAAGAGCAATAATAATATTATCATCATAAGAGATATATGGGCATATTTCTGGGTAGGCACACCATGAAACAGTGGAAAAAAACAAACCAGGGGCTTAGGAATCAAGGTATCTATGTAGCTGAAGTAATGTCTCTGATTCTCAGTTCTTCCATGTAATTGTGAGAACTGAATGAGTTAAATAGATGCAAAGCATTTAGCACAGTTTTTATGGTAAATACTAAGCTTTTTTCTTTTAAGTTGAAAGAAAGTATCTTGTGCTCTTGAGGGAGAGAGATAAGCAACAGTGGGTTCCTGAAGATTACAAAGTAAAGAACTATCCAGAAATTCAATACATAAAAAGATAAAAGCAAAAATGTTCTGGCCAAAGAGATATTAGAAGACTGGAACCCTGCCAGCTCTTTACTTCTATCTGTCCTTTCTTCCCCTATCCTTTAAATTCTAGGGCCCATAAAACACAACTGGCAAACCATTTCATTAAAATCTTCTTAATTGAACTGAGGAATACAGTCTGCTAGGTAGGAAGAAAAAAGGAAGGAAATTAGGGGTTATGTGTAATGTGGAAAAATTTGTATAGCTAGGGTACCTAATGGACTATTAGAAGCACCACAGGCTTGAGGATCCAGTTAAGATTACACAACATAAATTTCATATTCTTGTTATTCTCAGCAACAGCTCTTAAGCTCAGGCATGAGAAAAATAAGTGGCAGAGTAAATAAGAGCTATGGACTGACATGCTGAGCATATCAGAAGGTTAAATATTTAGAAGAGTACCTGAAACACACATAAAAATAGCCTACAAATATGTAATCAATGCAAAGGGTACAAAATATTCTAGCAAATTAAAAGGAGAGCTACTTTCAGACAGAGGCTACATGCTATATTTCTTCTACATCCTCCACTTTGACTATTGTAGGGCTGAGCACAAAGTAAGCAAATACAGACTGATGGCAAATGTGAAGAAAGTTTTCACTATTTCAAAAAGAGGCAAATACACAGAATACATAAATAAATTTTACAGAAATAAAAAATCCATAAGAACTCAACACTCAGTTTATAAGAATTTTTCACTGAGAGCATGCTCTCCAGACAGAATTTAAATATAAAATTATTAACTATTTGTTCAACAAGTCTTTTATAAAAGCCTTTATAGAAATTTACCTGGATTCTTCTAAAGGATGCTGGACAGTAAGAAGTCGAGGGTGTCGTAGTCGAGTTAACTGTTGGACTCCTCGTTTTAGAGAATCGATGATTTGATCTTTTTCAAACTTCTGATATTTGTCAATCAGCTTTTTATCAAAGACAAAAACAGCTACTTCCTAATTAAAGAATTGCATATTTTTAAGCAAGAATATACAAAAGTAATAAAACTTTACTCAAGTGTCACAATGGTCTACAAATCAAAGTAAAATCTAATATAGAAATTATAGCACTATTGTAACACTTTTCTGATATCAAAAAACTGGATTTCTTCATGATTAATAAATCTAAATACTTTTTAAAGTATGAGACCCAGAGCCCTTATCTAAGGAGAACACAGGAGAATCTCCATCTTTGAACTCTAATACACACAAAGTATATTGTGTTGTACTCTATGTAAGTAATCTCTTATTTAACCAGAATTCTCATACAAGTTAAAATGTTTAAAAATTCAAAATGCTATTCATAATGATAAACCTGGTTACTTATAACCCTACAAAATCTTGAATCGCTTTTTGAAAGAAAAGTTGTATATCTCAGGAGTGCGTGTTTATACAAAAACCCATTTTGTAAGCATCTTTTATATACAAATAGCCTATACTCACTCTCTCCTTCTACTCTATTCCTAATGTACTATGCACAGTAACTGGGAATGAATGGTACCAGTACAGGAAGTTACTCTCTCCTTGTCTCTCTCCAAGAGCATTCACAGTATATTTATACTACTAAAAGCACATGTCCTTCTTAACTATCTTCTTCCTTTCACTTCATCTGTTACCCAAGGAAAAATAGCTCCCATCCAGTAACCAATCTTAACAAATCAATCAAAAAATAGCTGTACTGATAGCTGATGTATTACCACACAGTGCAACACAGCAGTGATGCTAGATCTCCATCATAAATGGAAAGAAAAGGGATCCCTGGGTGGCTCAGCGGTTTAGCGCCTGCCTTTGGCCCAGGGCGCAATCCTGGAGTCCCAGGATCGAGTCCTGCGTCGGGCTCCCAGGATGGAGCCTGTGTCTCTGCCTCCTCTCTCTCTCTCTCTCTCTCTCTCTCTCTCTCATAAATAAATAAATAAATATTTAAAATAAATAGATAGATAGATAGATAGATAGATAGATAGATAGATAGATAGAAAGAAAAATGATAAAACTGGAAGCAAAATTAGGAAAGAATCAATGCTAACCTTCCAAAATACCTTGAAAAATTTTGAATGATTTTCAGAATTTCTATAAAAGTCTCTTTCAAAAGCCTCTAGTTAAACCTACTAATACTCAACTATCAATACCCAAGACAGTATCTTTCCATTTTATTTCTTATTATTTCTGCTACATTAGGATTACGTTTTTTCACAAAGCAACCTCATTAGCTAATAGAGATTCACTGCAGAATGCCAAGCCAATAAATATCTCAAACACAACTTGTTTTAAGTTGGAGGCTCCTTATATGTATATAAATAAGTTAAGGATTTGGGAGGATTAAGTCTCCAAAATAACAAAGGGACTATTTAGTAACTCAACTCGAAAATTTTATTTCCAAAGCATTTGTGTACTTTTAAGGAATTATTTAATTTCTCCAGCAATCCTACAAGACAAATTATTATCCTCATTTAAGAGATGAGGACACAGTGGAGAAGATAATGTATTATCTAAAATCTCACAACTGGTGAGATCAAGTTCAAATTCAGTCATTTTACATCTGAGGACCACATTCTTACCCAATATACCATTCTGTCTACATAGAAATAATACAGGGACAATAAATACAGAGCAACCCCCTCCCTAAAATATATGTTTTCAGGAAAATAATCATTTGAGACATTTAAATAGCATTCATGGATAAATACATAATCTTAGCTCCTTTTTTTTTTCATAATTTTAGCTCTTTTGATAATTCATGAGACACAGGTCTATCAGAGCTAAGTGTCATGTCATAGTAATTTGAACTAAAAACAAATGACCTAGAAGTTCAAGTTCCCATCTCACTATTCATGTGCACAATCTTATTTTAGTAAGTGTTCTGCTACAACACATTTTATAAATGCATCTAAATTAAATGTGTTTATTTTTTTTAAAGATTTTATTTATTTATTCATGAGAGACACACACAGAGAGAGAAACAGAGACAGAGGCAGAGGGAGAAGCAGGGAGCCCGATGTGGGACTCGATCCCCAGGACTCCAGCATCACGCCCTGAGCCGGAAGGCAGACACTTAACCACTGAGCCACCCAGGCGTCCCAAATGTGTTTATTTTTTCAAGATGTTTTAAGACATTAAAAAAAAAAAAAAAATAATATATATATATATATATATATATATATATATATATATCACATGAAATAGCCCTTAAGCTCTTGCAATTTCACCGCTTAAGGAAGAACATAGTTCATAAAGAAAAAGAACATAAAATTCTCTCTGAGATATTCATTTATTTAAAGTCACAAAAGATTTCTACATAGATCAGAATAGGTTATCAACTATCTTAAAAAGATTTTCTTTGTTCCAGCTTAATTAAAATTAACCAATTTCAACAAAGGTATGACTGACTAATGCCAAGGTATGACTGACCCCAGGACCCCTAGACCTCACACAGACTTCCTAAAACTCTTAGCCTGCACTGCAAAACTTTTCTTCAGAACAGACTATCATCTAACTTTTCATTTGTTTTCCTTCTACAACTTCACTACCCACTCTGTTAACACACATCACTTGTGTAAAAGTCCTGTCACTTTATGTGTATTACAAGCTTCTTTAAAAAAGAAAGCACACCTCCCCTTTTTAAAAAAGAAGAAAGAAACCATGCCTTAAGTGTCTCTGTGTCCACTACAGGATCTACACCTAGAAGACACTCAGACGTTTACTGCCTAGTGGTGGTAAATAAAGACAAGTAGTTACTGGAAGCTTTCCATTATCATACTGAAATAAAACCTTTTTTGACTCTTTATTATGAAAATGTTCAAATATACAAAAAAAGGTGAAGTACTGCAAATACCCAAAATCTTCCACTTAAGAGTCAACTGTTAACTCTAATTAAATTTGGAATCTCCTTTTTATACAAAAATTACTAAAACAAAATATAAGAATATTTGGCACTTTTTTTTATTCACTTCATAGCCTTTAAAATACACTGGCAAAAAAAGTTACTAAAAAATATTTTTTCTCAATAGCCTATCTTTAAATAAAAATGCTATAAAATATCTATTCTAAAAACTAATACTTGTCAAAATGAAGACTACCTTTTTTTTTTTAAGATTTTATTTATTTGTTTGAGAGAGATAGCAAAAGAGAGCACAAGCAGGGTGGAGGCATATAGGGAGAAGGAGAAGCAGACTCCTCACTGAGCACGGAGTCTGAGCTGAAGGCAGACGCCTAACCAACTGAGCCACCAACCAGGCGTCCCTGGAGACTGCCTTTTGATACAAGTCTAATTTATAACTTTTTAAAGCTACTTTGCTTTCTACAATGTTGAACTCTTGCTGAAAACAGGGCAGTTTAAGTAATAAAATCTAAATTAAAAATAAGTAAATAAATAAATAAAATCTAAATAAATATATGCCAATGTGTCTAGGATGCCCTAATAGTAATCATGACCTCCACTAACCTATCCCTCAAAGCCAACAGAGATGGTTTCTGAGACATAGATACTTCCTGTGATCTCTATTTAAAGACCTTTCATGACTGGTCAGTGGTGACTGCCAACCATCATACTCCTCATTTTTCATGTGATTTAGGGGCAAAGTTCCTTTCCTAAAATAATAAAACAAAATCTAAATTTTCATTGAGATTAAGCTAAAAGAACTTGGTATTTGAGAAGACTAAGACAGTAATAAGATATATCTCTTAAAATTATTGAAGATAGTCGATGATCATTATTGACCTAACCAATTTGACTAACACATTCAGCTTTGCACAGTGATTTCTTTGTTTAAAACTTTTAATTTTATAATTATACTTTAATTTTTCATAATAATTTAATTATGCCTTTGCCTACATACTACCAGCAAGCTTCATCCAGAATACTGGCATCTGGACAACACAATGTAGATTTTGCAGTAAGGAAGGGAAAACGTCCAAGATGACATCCGGTAGAATGGCTAAAATAATGATTACCAGCTAAATATTTATTATATAATTTTTAAAACCAATCTATCTTCATTATCCTCATAAGAATAGTCATTTAACTGGATAGTGTTTTAAGGCTAATGCAGTAGTTAGGCAAAAGAAACAGGCCAGCAAACATGACTTTTAAGACAAAATAAGATTAAACTTGCCTGTTTTAAAAAAAAGTCTATTCTAAAACTGGATTAAAAAATAATCATTAATATGGGACACTAACTAGAAGACCACAAATAAATGTTAAGTTAAATTCATTTTTTTTTATTTTTTATTTTTTATTTATGATAGTCACAGAGAGAGAGAGAGAGAGGCAGAGACACAGGCAGAGGGAGAAGCAGGCTCCATGCACCGGGAGCCCGACGTGGGATTCGATCCCAGGTCTCCAGGATCGCGCCCTGGGCCAAAGGCAGGCGCCAAACCGCTGTGCCACCCAGGGATCCCAAGTTAAATTCATTTTGAAAAGTAGTTAGCTGGCAACAGAATCTTGTGTCAAGATAAACAGAAATACTTACATATAATAAATAAATGTTTAAGTAATAAATACACCCACACATACACTCTTTTTTAAAAACATCTTCCCCCCCAAATAAATCCCTTAACTTGATATAGTAGAGTTAAAAGAAATTTCAAAATGTAGAATTATTCTTCTACTCGAAACACAGTAAAAGGTATACACGTGGGAAAGAAACTCTATTTATGTAGTGCTTTTATTACAAATTATTTAAACATATTAGCAGCCTTGGTAGTTACATCATTCTCATCAAACAGATAAGGTGATGGTATTTCAATTTTTAAAGGACACAAACATACAAAAGCAACCATTTCTCACTTATGACTGATACATATAGATAGATAGTTTGGCCAAAAATTTCCCTTTAATGGTTTGTTTAAATAAAGTATAATTAAAAATTAGAAAGGGGGGCAGCCCAGGTGGCTCAGCGGTTTAGTGCCGCCTTCAGCCCAGGGCATGATCCTGGAGACCCGTGATCGAGTCCCATGTCGGG